CGAGAGAGCCGGCGGCCGAGCTGCAACCCGAAGGCCAGAAACTCAGACGGAAGTTCTCAGATTGTTCGTTAATCTTTTTAAACAACTGAAGTGTGACTTTTAATCTCACTGTGACTTTAGAAACCCAGAGGACAGACCTGTGGAATAACTGAAATAATACAGCAAAGCACTTGATTGCAGAGAGTAATCCGCAGAGTCTGCAAGAAATCAGGAGAAGTCGATGAAAGAAGCAGCTGCAGGTTCACGTCAGGTGACGCGAGCTGAGGAGAAACATCTGCTCGAGTTGAAGTTCCAGCAAGAAGTCAAAGTCCAGTCGGTCTGTTTGCTGAATATCTACACATTATTAGCCGGTTTGTGTTGTTAATCTCAATCTATCGGGTCATTTGTAAACCTGAGTTAGACTCACAGGGAAGCAAACACAGATCAGTTTCACATAAATCAATAACAAACCAAGACGGCAGAACATCACAGGCTTGTGCTGCTTCGTCTGCTTCTACCAACAGAGGTGGAAAACTAAAATATAAATGCATTAAAACAGGTTTTAAAAAATAGTAAAAAATCTGGATGTGGAGTGTTCAAAATGGTGGAACACTGTAATGTTCAAAAACCTGCATAAATAGTGAAATAATGGCGACTATTTCTAAAATAATTACATCTAATTATATTTGCGCTGATTTAAATGTAGTTTTTAAAAAAAATAGACAAATTTTATTGTCACATGTCATAAAAGAACAAATTACTATTTTTAAAAACACAGACACTGATATTGGCCTGCTTTCTTTGTTTTGTTTTGCTTCTTTGTTTTTATTTTGTTTGTTTTTTGCAGTCAACCAATCAACAACAGCTTACACTATAGATATATATATATATTTGCAGTTTTTATCTTTATTTTTTGCTGTTATTGTACAGATTTCCCCTGTTTTGTTGAATTACAAAAATGATCCCAACAAAATAACACATAAAAACTGTAAATAAAGTCCAAATCAAAAATCTGTAAAATTAAACTCTTTTTACTGCATTTAAATCAGCTTAAAAAAAAAAGAAAAGAAAAGAAAAAAAAGAAAAAACATAATTTTAAATAGATTTTTTTTTTTAACCAAAACAAAAAAAATGTATATTATGGACTGGTAAATGGTAAATCACCTTCAACTGTTATTTTGCAGATTTTCCCTGTTTTGTTCAATTACAAATGACATTTTTTTTTTAAATAAAAAAATAACTTCAAAGCTGTAAATGAAGTCCAAATCAAAAATCTGTAAAATTACACAATTTTTACTGCATTTAAATCAGCTAAAAAAAAAAAATCATCATTTTATACATATTAAATGTTTTTTTAAACAAAAAAAAATTATAATACGAACCAGAAAATGGTGAATAACTTTTAACTGGTATTCTACAGATCATCCCTGTTGTTTTAATATACAGAGAACATTTAGTTAAACCACACAAAAAGGTATTAATTTACATGTTAATCCTCATCAAATACTGCTGGACACTGACTACATTTTTTTACAGTCACTGATGCAACAAGAGCTGCAGTGTTCTCCTCTGGGTTCAGTCCTGTGACTCTGAGCCGCTTGCAGCCGATACCAGCTTTGGAACAAACATGATGCATCTTATGAAGCTGTGTCACAGGAAAAGTCGTGCCAGGTTTTGCAATCCTGAGCATTTGCAGACTTCAGCTCCTCAGCAGCGTCTTCTAGTTCCTCCTGGGATCCCTCAGCATCCCCGGGCCAGATGAGATGTGTAACCCCTCCCGTGAGTTCTGGTTCTCCTCCCACATGGACGTTCCTGGAAAACCTCGGTTCTCTCAGGCCAAACACTGGAGCTGAACAAATTGTGATTTGCACAACACCCTCATTACTGCTGACGTGGCATCATACCAGGTTTACTGTGATCAGCAGGACGTGTTGGGTTGAACTAGTAGGAAATCCAGCTCTGATGCAGCTCTGAGGGAGTCGATGGTGAAGCTGATATCAATTGGACAAAATCAGAACCGTGATGTTGGATCCTGTGAGTCTGGTGTTGGTGACAGTGATTTAAATCTTGTGTGGAAACATTTGAGTTGTTACTGACAGTAAATACACATAAAAGACAGAATTTGTTATCAGAAATCAGAGTTTAAATGGTTGTAACTTTAGTTTTGTCTCAGTCATGTATTATCTGTCCTGGGTGAACATATAGATACTGTAATCTGTGGACAGTAACAGATTGAAAAACTACATTATTAGAAGAAGAAAAAAAAAAAGTTCAACAGTAAGGAGAAGAGAAAAAGATTTTAAAAAAAGAAAAAACAAACAACAAACAGTGGAATACTGTAATAAAAACAAACAAATAAATAAATAAATAAATAAATATGAAAGTTTGACAGTAAGGAGACCAGAAAAATATGTTAAAAAAAAAAGAAAAAGAAAAAACAAACAACAAACAGTGGAATACTGTAATATATTAAAAAAAAATGGTGAAAATAACTTTTGTTTTTTGTTGTTGCAGACAGAGAATTGCTGTTTTATTTTTCGGGTTGACATGTAAACTAATACTTTTTCTGAGTTCTCCAGTTATTAACTGCAATGCAACAAAACTGGGAAACAGCAGCAAAGTATTCAAACTCTCACAGTTTTTAAAGAATAAGAAAACATTCATGTTTTACAGTGTAAGCTGCTGTAAGGACCTGAAACTGATCAAAAGTCTATTGATTATTATTAAAGCCATAAAAAGACGGCTCCTTCAGCCCTTTAAGCTGCTCTGAGAGTTTGGTTTTAACTCGTTCTTTGGGGGAAAACTGTAGAAAGTGTTGAAGTTGGCTTTGGGGGCGTCTCGGCCTCCGTCGGCCTCCGTCAGATTCACTCTAAGCTCCAACAGTCGCGCTGTGCCGAGCGCTGTGGGAGTGTTGCTGTGGAAACGCTTTGTGGAGTGTTTGTGAGTGTTTGAGGCTCCCAGAGGATCTGAGGAGGCAGAAACACGCTGACGAGTGTGTGTGTGAGTAAATCAGCGCTGGCTGGAAATGCCTGAGTGACCTAATGCACATCTGTGTGAGCTGGACTGACAGACGGAGACTTTCTAAACACAAAAGTTCCACTCAAGTGGCTGCGTGCAGAAGCCCACGGCTCAGCTCGCCGTCTAAACACAAACAAACAAACAACCAGTAAACAAACAGCAGGCTGCGAGGCCCCGGCAGCCTCCAGCAGCTGCTCCTGTTCTGCCATTTCTTATTCATAACCTGCAGAAAGTAACCAGATCCAGCGCTGGGTGCTGCTGCAGCCTCGTCCTCAGGCTGCTGCTGCTGAAGCCGACAAGCAGCTTCACGTCTGAGCTGCTCACCTTCTGCTGCACACGTCTCACTTTGTTCTGTATTATTCACCTTTATTCTGTAAGTTTCCTCTAAACTGTCTACATTTGACATAAAGTTAATGCTCATGTGTTGCTTTTTCATATGCTAGAAGACATAACGAGCAAAGTTAAGTTTCAGTTCAGCATTTCCACCTTGAAACGACACGACAGCCTCAAAAACATGATTTCAAAGCTCAAGGGATTCGAAGAAAATAAACGGAAGCAACGTGGGCTTTTCTGTATCATCAATCTTCTTCAGGATCAGTTTGAACATGACGCCAAATTACTCCAGTGTTTAAATGTTCAGTTATGTCGAGTGGTTTTACAGTGTTGTAGGTGAGCTGGTGTGCTGAGCTGCAGTGATCACGGAGGCAGACACAGATTGTAGGTGTGTAGACTTACAGCTAAAAGCCATTTTAGGGCAGAATGTGGAAAACGCTTGGACATTTCTAATGAGTTTGACTGTAGAGGCACTTTAAATCAAATAAGCCATTAATGATCCCAGCAAAGGGGAGTTTAAACATGGAGGCAACGTCAGTGGGGAAAGAAAGAAAGAAAGAAAGAAAGAAAGAAAAAGAAAGAAAGAAAGAAAGAAAGAAAGAAAGAAAGAAAGAAAGAAAGAAAGAAAGAAAGAAAGAAAGAAAGAAAGAAAGAAAGAAAGAAATAGATATGACACAGATTTGTTTAAATGTGGAAAATAACAATATTGAAAAAAAACATTGATGTTGCACATATAATATGAACCACATCATCAAAAACAGATAAAAAAAATCCTCAAATGAAAGCAGAGAGAAGAAAACCAAAATGAAATTAAACTGACTGATATTAGAAGATAAATAAAAGAAAACAGAGGAAAACTGATACTGCTCAACTAAGGTGAATTAAAGTAAAAATACGAGTATAGCATGCTGGGTAAGACTGCCAGCTGTTGACTGCATCACTGAAAAATGTTCCTTAGAGCTGTTGAAACAGTGTTCATATTCATTCATTCATTCATTCATTCATTCATTCATTCATTCATTTAGTCGTGGACACAATAAAATGCAACTACACCTAAAATCCAGCAGCAGTGAACAGACAGTTAACTGTTATATGGAGGAAAAACTAAATCAGATCACAGGAAATATTAGAAAATAGAAAATAAATGATGAAAAGTGTTGAGACATGGTGTCTGAGTAACGCTCACATTCATGGCAGTCCAAGTTCTAAACATCACTCATGGACTTATTTCTTTTAGCTTCTGAACACAAACACCTCCTGATCACATCTGTCCTTAACACACATTTATTTAAGTGGATGCATCGTTTTTAAATGTTCCATCAGCAGCTATTTATCACCTCTGCTGACATTTAACATGTTACACGCGTGCTGAAAGGTGATGTTCGGCTGCACCATAAATCACTCGGTGCAGCTTTAAAGGTGCTGATCGGTGAAAACTGAGGGAAGAATCATTTATGCTTCAAATGACCAAATGTAAACAGATTTACACTCCCGCCGGGTCACCAAACACCACGCACAGGCGTATGATATTGTCACCGGGCCGCTGGTGATATCAGCTTACTCTCCCCCCCGTGGGAGAGTCACATGACCCCCGTCAGGGTGAGGAGGGGGAGTCGAAACGCTTCAATGAAAACCACATGGAGGGAGGAGAGAGCTGCGACGAAACAGAGAGGCACAAGAAACACGGAGCAGCTGGAGGGGAGACTGCAGCACCAGGACCACAGAGCAGGACCAGCACCAGAACCAGCACCACGGAGCAGGAGCAGCACCAGCACCAGAACCAGGACCACGGAGCAGGAGTCCAGCACCATGTCAGAGTCCAGCAGAAGGAGAAGCTCCAGCAGGCAACTTCTGCAGAACCTCATCAGGTGAGAAGCTCTTTAACACTTTAACACATATGAATACATAAAAATTGGATTTTTTTTGACACATAGTCTCACCATCAGAGCAGAATTACAGCTTTAACAAAGTGATTAAACTTTATTAAACCCAAACTAGACGGGAAACACGTTCACTCAATTGTACGATAAAGTATAATGTGGGTTTTACTTCTTTAACTTTTATTTTGAGCTTCAGCTGTGTGATGTAATGGTGGCAAATGTAATCATATGTTTATTACTGGGGTTGTTCTACTCGTCGACCGCATCGTTTTAGAGTTATTTATTCACATGAGTGAAGCAGAATTTATATTTTTTTTTAAATCTAGTACAACTAACTACAACAAAAACTGAACATTATGAGCATCAGGAAAGAGCATTTTCCTGCAAAACTGTTGCCACAACTCAAGTGTAATTTGCACTCTACTGCTTTTATTCCACAGCTTTCACAGACCTGTGCTGCTCATAAAACCCCTCAGAGTTCACCGCATTCAACAGTTTATTAAATATTTAAAGGAACTGATGCTAAAATGTTCATCGATCACACTTCAGCACCAGGGAAGGATTAAAATTTAGCATCTCAGAGTAAATTTATATCGACGCTGATGCTCCACAAGTGGAAAACCTTTACAATTTATATCCTCAGAAGCGCAAATATCTGGTTTTTCTTACGTGTCATAATGTGTGGCAGCTTTAAACTTCATTTATTAGATACTGAGGTGTAATAATCAGGTGGTGTCTGGAGGTTGTGCAGGTTTTTCTCGCCTCGCCTCCACCCAGAATCCGTCACCGTTGCCTATTTTTAGATTTTACGTCGGCAGTAAAAGTGGCGTTAAAGTGCAGTTACTCAATTAACTGGAGCAGAGAAACACAATTACATGTTTTTTTGTATGAACTTTTTGTCCCTAAAGAGGAATTTGACTCTGCAGCCAGCACACACACACACACACACA